TGCTCTAACATTCATCAAAAAGCCAATAAATGTCAAGGAAGGAACTAGACTTGCAGTAGCTCATAAATTCCTTCTCAAGGGGCCTCTAGAGGGGAGTTTTAGGACAATGCACCTGCCCTTTTTCCTGAATGTTGCTAAATACGCCTCCAGGAAGCTTAGAACCTTTGTGGGGTGGCTTACCCTGATGGCTTTGAGGGGATATCCACAGGAAGGCCGCTCTAGCTTTTGGTCAGAGGGTCCTGTTTTTGGTACCAATACTGGCTAGGTCTGTATTTTTGAGTCTTTTATACCATGTCTGTGTGACAACATAGTTTATAGTTAACTGAGAGCTAAGATCCCTTCCAGCTGGGAAAGTTAAAGCTTTACGTAGATGATCCCATTTGCTCACCAGAGTCAAAACTGATTGTTCCTCTTGAGCCCCGTAATACTATCTATGGTGTTCATTTAGAAACCTATTGCTTCATGGTAACAGGTCTTCTGTTGGTAAACCTTGTTTTCACTTTATTATTAGGGGAGGGGATGTTCACTCAGTGGCTAATGCAAACCTGCTTCTTGACTGAGTTTGGGTTCTTGCAGTGGCAGACCCTGAATCAAGGACTGTGTGAAGTTTGTTTATCTGGAAAGTGATCCCAGGAAGCACAAGTGAGGGCATGGGCTGAGGTCAGGCAGAAAAGGAGAAAAACCAATGAAATTGGCATTAACGAACAGGTTGGTGCTGTGGGCAACGGGACTCAATGCTGCTGGGCCCTCTAAGGAAACACATCTCAGAATTGTTCCCTCAGATGATGGGGGCTGGGGCATTTATCCTTGGATGTCTGATGTTGCTTGAGGGGTGTCCGTGGAGGCCCTAACTCCCCCTATTCCTAGGTTGGCCTGTTGAAGGCTGAGCAAGCTCTTGGATGCCAAAAATCATCCTCAGAGAGGCAGAGACGAAAGTGCTTGAGGGAGTAGCTTAGGCTGCTCAAGCTGCTGTAACAAGACTGGGAGACTGACACAGACACTTTCTCACAGTTTTGGAGACTGAAAGTCTAAGATCAAGGTGTTACAGGGTTGGTTTCTAATGAGGTCTCTTCCCTTGGCTTGCAGCCAGCCACCTTCTGAGTCCTCACACGGCCCTTCGTCTGTGCAATACATCCCGATGTCTCTCCCTCTTCTTATAAGGACACCAGACTTACTGGATTATGGTTCCATCCTTATTTAATCTTATTACCTCTTTAGAGGCCCTTTCTCCAAATACAGTCACAGTGAGGGGTGGGGCTAGGTCTCCAACATACGAATTTTTGAGGGAACTCAGTTCAGTCTATAACATGGGGAAGCTCTTACCTGTAGAAACTGCCCACCAGAGCTGCAGATGAAATGGAGGTTGGTCAGCAGCAACATTGCTCCACATGTGTAGTTCAGTTTAATCCTCCCAGCCACTTAGGAGGTAGGTGTTACCATTATCCCTATCATAACCACAGAGAAATCGAAACACCATGAGGTTAGACAACTAGCTCCACATCACAGTGCTAGTCATAGGGGGTGGGCCCATAGGCAGCCCAACCATCTGAATCTTGTCCCATGATAACTATTTTGTATTTGAATTTTAATGTGGTTCATGACTTATCTCTTAGACTAGGTTCCTGTAGGGTCAGAATTGTTTTATACAAAAACCCATTCCATAGTGCCTAGCACGTAATGAATGAGACAATTTTGGTTTAAGGTGCAAGTAAGTATTTTAACCACTTCAATAGAATCTCTGAAGAGTAAATCTATTAGATCTCTTCACCCCTTGTCAACCAGCCATAAACTGCATGTATCTCTCTACGTGAAGAATGTTTTATCACCAGAAGTGTAATCATTTGGACACCAAAACATGCTCCGCTATGGTTTAAACTAGAAAGAAAACGGGCTTTACAGGACGCTCCCCCCAGGTCTGAGTTCGCCCAAGTGAGAGTGACTTCCCAGTATCAATCTCCATTTACAAAGAGAAGAGTACGACTTCCCTGGACCTACGAAGAAAATGCTCATTTATGTACTGCTCAACCACTTAACTTTCCAAAACTGATTTAGAAAATGTCGTCTGAGAATAAAAAACAAACTGTATTATGTAGCCTGTCCGGGGGAATGTACCCTGGCCACAATGAACTGGACCTAACAAGTCTGCCCTGTGCTGGGCAGCGTCTAGGCTCGGAGAGTGTAAGAAATGAATGGGATTGGTGTGGCCCTGCAGGGATGCACACCTTTGTTGAGGGCCAGGGAGGATGATACAGGGGACTGTGAATTAAAAACAATAATGTGCTTCATGCAGAACAGAAGTGACTGCAAAGTGGCGGTCGCCTACAAGCAGGTAAGAGGGCAGCAGGATGGCCTGGTGCAGGAGCCACAGGCCCATGCTCCAGAGTTAGACTGCCTGGCCTTCCAAACCCTGGTCACTGTACAGGCTACATGATACCAATGGGTCTTTAAAATTCTCAGACCACATTTCCTAAGTCATTTAAAAAAGTTAAAAAGCTGAGCAGAACATGCTCCTTATTAGCTGTGTGAAGACGGCCATGTGACTTACCATCTTTGTGGTTTTGTTCCTCATCTGTATAAAGGGGTTCATAAAGCCTACCTCACAGGGCTTTTGTGAGGATTAAAGTATTAACTGACTGCAAAATGCTTAACACAGTGCCTGGCACAGAGCTATCACAGAAACCTGAGCGGCCATCAGCTCTAACTCACACTCCACTTTGACCAATACATTTTTTTTCTTTTTCTAAATTCCTAGAAATATCTAAAACTGGGAATTACCATCCCCATACAGAATTTGGTAAGGCCAATATTGAAAACATACAACATAAAATGGGGATATTTTTTAAATGTGTAAAAAATACTTGCAAATTGTTCTGTGGGTTTGTGTTTAAACATCCTGGACAGGACAGGGAGACTTGAAGGAGATAGCAATATAAAGTCAGTAAGGACGTCTGAAGGCTGCACGCTGGGAATAGAAACCTCATGAACCTGATCCACCCACTGCTCCCCTCCTCCCCATTTCCTTGTGGAGCAGCCACCTCCCCTCACTGGGAGCCCGGTGGGCAGGGCTGTCCTATTCAAGAGACACAGCAGGTCCATCTTTTCATAGGGCTCTGCTTAGGACCTGAAAAATAAGTTTGAACTCCAAAATATGAAAGAAAAACCCTTGCAAGACTGACTGAAATTTAGTATTTTATTAACTGTAAAACATCAACTTCAATTTGATGTTTTGAATTTAACTCTTGCCTACTTGATGATTGCCCAGAAATAATTATTGTCAATTAATCAAACATTTTTTTAATCTTAAAAAGGCAAATCATTCCATTTCCTTCCCTAGCTAGAATAATTATATTTACTGTGGAATATGGGTGTACTCTGTGATAGGAGGTGGGGCTTCCAAAGGCTTGAGCACTGAGGGCTGAGGAAGGCCCTGAAACCTGCCCAAGGGGAAGATTTTATTTTATTATTTTTTAATCCTCACCTGAGGATATTTTTTCCATTACTTTTCAGAGGGAGAGAGTGGGAGAGGGATGGGGAGAGAGAAAGACATCAATGTGAGAGAGACACAGTGACTGGTTGCCTCCCACAAGTACCCCGACCAGGGCCAGGGATGAAGCCTGCAACCAAGGTACGTGCCCTTGGCCGGACTCGAATCTGGGTCCCTTCAGTCCGAGGGCTGATGCTCTAACCACTGAGCCAAACCGGCTAGGGCGGCAGGGAAGATTTTAAGGGGCTCCTGGAAGTGCTCAAGTCTCCTCACAGTCCTCTCCAGGCCGACAAGATTGCTCACAATTTCATCACAAAGGCCCCACTGCTCCAATATAGGCACTGGGAGAGATCTGTCACTCTCATCCTGGTAGGGACTTCGCATATTTTAGCGTACAGCAGAATCACTTGGAAATTTTTTTTAAATGCATATTTTGGGGTCCCCAAAACCAGAATTTATGATTCAGCAGGTCTAGTGAGGAGCTCAGGAGTCTACACTTGGACTGTCCAGACCATCCATGGGCCACACTTTGGAAATGCTCTTAGTGCAGTGAGTTTTCAGAGGAAGGAGAGAGGAGGGGTGCTGGCTAAGACACCTAGACAACGGAAGGGGAACCGCCAATTCTGATAGAGATCTGCCTGGTACAGGGTCATCAGAAGGTTCTGGTGTGGTCTGAAAACCTCTGAGTACCTGATGGATTTCCCGTTCTCAAGTGTAATCAGGTGCTTTCAATGTAGAAATAACATGTCCATATTCTCCATTCCTAAAAGAATATTTTCTTTGAACAAAAGCTTCCTGTTTCAAGTTTCACAGCAAATTTCCAAACCCAGTATTATAGAACCCAAAATTTCAGAACCAATAGGAAAAGTGTCCGGTGGTGTCACTCTTATGACCAGGAAACTGAGTGCTGCAGGAGGTTACATCATCTGCACACAGTGACACAGCTAGCTGATGACAAACCTGGGACTCAGTGCTCTGGGTTCAAATCCATGCTTTTCCTAATCCTCTTTGATAAACATACTGTTGCCTTGGCTATGCCATTTCTGACTGGCTTCCATTAAGCACTGGTGGTCTTTCCTCCAGCTGTTGGGAGGAATGTAGTGTAGTCAAGAGCACAGGCTTCAGAACCATACAGGCCCAGGCCCACATGCTGGCTCCACCCTGGCAAATGCCTTCACTTCTCTGAACTCCTGGGTAGCAGGGGGACGGAGCAAGCTACTGCAAAGGGCTGCCTGACAGGAGCTTAGGCTCATTAAATCACCAAGTTCTCTGGTGTAAAATTAATCAGTCATTCACTCCATTTGTTTATATTCTCCAGGGCTAAAGCCAGCCTTTGGAATGGTGTCTCGCCCAGGTGAGGAGTGAACACCTGTTTCACTGACTTTCTGTTCTAGCCCCTGCACTGCTGGGGTGATGTCTGTCTGCTGGGTTGAGCTCAGCAAAGCTCCTTGAGAAGTAAAATGGTACAGGGAAAGACAAATACACTAGACTTTCCAAAGGCAATCATCACACGTGGTTAGCAGAAATTTTTCATTCAATGTCCCAGTGGAAGGAAGCAGATACAAATTAACCCGAAATTTATATTAGCCTTGGGATGCATTACATGACATCAGAGGATGGGTAGCAAACTTTCTTTCTAGGTTTGTGCACAGGAGACTATTAAGATTTATAGCTAGTTCCCAAGGGCACATCAGCTCACAGGCTGGGAAGGCCGCCCAGAGGCCCCAGGATTTCATGGTTTGAGGTCATCATGTGGCTCACACAGACACTGGAGAGTTAACTTTTGCTTTTCATTTGCCAAATGTATGAGAAGGCTTTGTTACTTTCTCCAAAGCCCAGAGAGCTTATAACGCCCTTTCCTCTACACTGTGTGATCTGGCAACTGCCAAACAGTGACTGCCACAGCCAGCCACCTGGACAGAGGGTGCAGTAGGGACCCCACTGACAGCACGGTTCTGAACCAGAAGCCAGAAAGTAGTATGTTTAGGTCCTAATTCAAGCCCTTGCTTAGCTGGGGACTCAACTGCCTTATGCTACTGTGGATTCTCACCAGAAGCAGAGCAGAGTTTGGAAGCATGTCTGGAGCAGGTGACTTTTAGTGGGTAGGACTGTGTGTTTTGAGTCCTTCCTACCTCCCCTGATGTTTTTGTCCTCAGGTTTAGCCCAGGGTCCCGTTTCACAGTACCTCCGATGGCCAGGACATTCACTACAGAAACATCAAGCACCTACTCATGTCGTAGTATGGGCATACAAAGAAAGAATTAGTTGATTTTTTCCCCCCGAGACAGCTTACAGCCTGGTTAAGAAGATAAAATTACCAGTCTTTCTAAATACTTAATCTTTTAAAGTCATGTAAGATTATTCCAAAGCCATAGGCATGATTATTTCTCAGAAGAACCAAGAAGATGTTCAGTGTGGAGGCTATCTCATGGAGATTGGAACAGGTTCACGTGTCTGAGGCAACCAGAACTACCGCCACCTTAGGGGACATTTCTGATAACAGAGGCAGGTTGGCATCCTTCTTTCACACCTCATTTTATCGTCACCTTCTCCTGTGTCAGGGTGATCCCTCACTTAAGGTTCCGTGAAGAAGTGTATCAAATTCCAGGCTTACTACTGTAGCTGGCCCAGCATCGGTGCTCACTCCCCTTAAAGCAGCGTTTCCTTTGACTCTCCATTACATCCTTTCCCCATGGAACCATGGCTTTTAATGCAGACCCCACGTGGTGCGACCATGACTAATGCTACAGAAGCAGCCTGTCTGCTGTTCCATCACGAGGCAGCAGTGGTGGCTGGAGTCAGATGGGGGTGGGGGCCATCCCGAGTGCTGCTCACTGGGCTCATGCCCCCTCCCTCCCTCTGATGTGGCAGCTCAGTGTGACCAGGCAGGTTTCCTCTTCTGGATGAAGGCCTTGATTCCCTCCTGCCCATCTTGCAGGGCCACATTGTCCACCATGGTCTGGGAGGCGAGGTGGTAGGCCGTTCTAAGGTCCTGGCGCACTTGCTTGTAGAAGGTGGCCTTGCCCAAAGACACCACAGGACGGCTCAAGGATGCGATCTTTTTTGCGATTCTCATGGTCTCCTTCTCCAGCTGCTCTTCCGGCACTACTCTGCTGAGCAGCCCATGCAGCAAGGCCTCCTGAGCAGAAATGGGCTCCCCAGTAAAAAGCATTTCTAAGGCGACCTGGCAGAGGAAACATGGGCAGTTACTAAGGCACTCTCCTTCTGACCCACTGCCACCTAAGTCCCCCCTCTCCATTTCACTCTGCTGACACAGCTGGTGTCTTGACTTTCTGACAACGTTGGCCCAATTCTCAGGAACAGATCTGATCTTTCCAGGAGCAAGGAGAGGGATGGACTCCCCGTGTCCTCGTGCTCCTTCCCCAAGCTGAGCTCCCAGCTCTAAGGAGGCAGGAGATTTGAGCTGCTTCTTTCAAGGGCCAAGCATAGGACAGGGGCCACATCTGATCGGAAGAAACTAAAAATGACTGAGAGCCAGGCCCATCGCCTCCCACAAACCAGAGCAGGGGTTACTTTCCAGAAGAAAGGGATGTGCCGAGAAGCTACCACCTCAGCCTGATTTGAAAGAGCAGCCCCATCTCCTGGAGGAGGGGAGTGAAAGGAAATGCCTTCCAGGGACAGATGGAGGGGTCTAGCATGGTGTTAACTTACAAGGAGAGGACGCCCTCTTTCCACAATCCTCTCCCCGCAGAGGCCCGCAGAGGCCCGCAGAAAGGGGCAGTACACCTTTCTCACTCTCCAGTTTCCTAGGTTCTATCGCTGGCCACATACTGTGCTTCAATTCTGTAATTCTACAAAGCCCAGCTTCTTGAAACTCAAACTTAAGATTTAGGAAAGGGGTTTCCAGATGCACAGGAAACACAGAGCCCCTCCTCCCCACCTGGCTCATTCTCCTGCAGCCCAGCTGGCATCTTTGCTGTTCCTTGAACACGCCAAGCGTGATGTCACCTCAGTCTTGTGTTTGCTGTTCCCTTGGCCTGCAGTGCTTTGTCTCCATGTCCTCATGGCTTGTTCCCTTATCTCCTTTAGGTCTCTGCTCACATGTCACCTCATCAGTGAGGTCCTCCATGACCATACCATCCTATTACAATTGCGATCCAACCTCAGCACTATCCCCCTTTCTGGCTGTATTTTAATCCTTTGTACTTTCATCATTTAACAAACTATATACTTTACACATTTGTTTATTGTATTATCTCCTTTGCTGGCATGTAAGCTCAACTATGGTGGAGATTTTCTTTTTTTTGTTCTGTTCATTTCTGTATCTCCAGCACCAAAAGAGTGCCTTGCATGTGGCAGGCAACCTATTAAGTATTCATCAAGGAATGATTTAATGAATGAATGGATGAAGGCAAACAGAGCACAGCAGAAGTGACACTATAGTTCTTTAAAGGCTAGGTCAAAAGGTGATACAGCTTCTACCTGGCTCTTTCCCTTGGTAGTTCAGCCTGAGAACCTGGCCACCTTGCTCTGAGGAAGCCCAAGCCACACTGAGAGGCTGCGCTAAGTGTCCCGACTGAGTTCCCCGCAGAGAGGCAGCCTCAGCAGCCAGCCAGGAGTGAACAAGCCTTAACTGACTGCCCCCAGCTGTCATTCCCCCATCTTAGTCTCCCAGCTGAGGCCACAGATATAAAGCTTCCCTCACTGACCCTGAGCCCTGTCCAAACTGCAGATTCATGAGCTAAACAAATTACTATTGTTTTGAGCCACTAAGAGTGGGTGGTTATGCAGTAAAAGATAATGGGAATAGTTTAAACTATATATATGATAGAGCGCATCAGCACAGTCTTTACTTACTGTTTAGGTTTCTACATAGTGAGACCCTGAAACTCCAGGTGAGAGAGCATGTGGATAACAGTTTCTCAGTGTCGGTGCCATTGTATATTTTGGACCAGATGTTTGGTGTGGGTTTGTCTTGCGCATGGTAGCATCCCTGGCCTCAATCCACTGAGTGCCAGTCGTATTCCCACTCCAACCTGTGACAATCAGAAATGGCTCCAGGCATTGTCAAATGTTCCTGGGGCCAAAACTGCTCCCAGTTTATTTTGCTTTTATTTATTTAATTTGTATTGACCTTAGAGAGAAGAGGGGAGTGAGTGAGAGAAAGGAACATAGATGTGAGAGAAAAATGGGTCGGTTGCCTCCCTCACACCTCCCAACTGGGGACTGAAACCCTGCAATCTAGGTATGTGCTCTGACCGGGAATGGAACCCACCACCTTTTGGTGTTTGGGATGACACTCCAACCAACTGAGCCACACCGGCCAGGGCACCTCCCAGTTCAGAACCATTGATGCAGATGGTTTTTTAAATCATGAGACTAGATTATGCTTCTGCTATTCTGGCACCTCTCCCTTCTGTCCAGAAGACCAAAAAGGTCTTAATGGGATTGAAGCTGCTCACAGAAGAAGTTTTGACTGGAGTAGGGTCAGGGCCAGAGGCCTGGACTGTTCCTGGACTATCTTCAAGTTCCTAATACCCCCTGCCCAGTTTATGCCTCTTTCTGGGCCTCAGTTTCCTCACCTGCCTAGTGGTGTAATACTGTTTAGTATCATGTTGATTTATGGGGACTTTACCCAGGCAGATTAAGTAATGGAGTGGCATTCCCTAAGGAAAAGAAAGCCTGCTTATTTTATAGCGCATCACCACAATTTTTACTTACTGGTTAAGTTTCTATATAGTGGGCCCTGGAAACTTCAGGTGAGAGAAGAAAATGCCTCCTTTTCCCTAATCAACTCTTGCACTTCATGCATCCTCCTAACAAGTTGGTGATTTCATATTTCCTCCTCCTGGGCTATTTGCATTAAAAACAACAAAAAGGGCCCTACTGGTTTGGCTCAGTGTTTAGAGCATCAGCCCAAGGACTGAAGGGTCTTGGGATGGATTCCAGTCAAGGGCACGTACCTTGGTTGCAGGCTCAGTCCCTGGCCCCAGTCAGGATGTGTGCGGGAAGCAACCAATCAATGTGTCTCTCTCACATTGATGTTTCTCTCTCTCTCTCTTCCACTCTCTCTGAAAAACAATGGAAAAAATATTCTCAGGTGAGGATTAATAAAAACACAAAACCACATAAAGGACTAGAGGCCAAGGCTCACCACCAAGTTAGCTGGGCTTGTATCTGGACATCCCTGAGGCCACTTACTAACCAGAAGACCTTAAGGGAACAATTTAACCCAGCTGAGTCTGTTTCCTTATCTGAAAAAACAGGAATAACACAACTATCCTCCTGCAGAATTGTGAAGATTAGAGAAAATGTCCACAGCTTAAAATACAGTGCTGGGCACTCGGTAGGCACCTAATAAGTGAGTGGCTATTAGTCACATGCTTATTCCAGCTGTAAATTTGTATGACTCTCTAATGGCATGTTTTAGTGTCCATGGCCCCAGAAAGCAGAGCAGTCTTCCAGATCCCTTCCAGTCACACTGATGACAAGAGTAAGTTGGTGGCAGTGGTGTGTCAGTATCAGGGGCTGGGATGCTCAGAGGGGAGTGAAGCTGATGGACCATGGTGCTAATTTAATTGGCTGGGAAAGCTGAGAGGTAAGTAAGTTAGTTGAAAACATGGGATCCATGTTCTCAAAGGCACTAAGGCCACGTGTCTCACCTCTGCTGGCCACAGCAATCACTGTTAAAAGTGTAGATTCTGATGCAGTCGACCTGGGTGGGCCTGAGACCTGCATTTCTCCAGGCTCTGGTGAACTGCACACCAGCTGAGTGGCAATTCTTTAACACTCCTTCCAGCTTGGAAGTCCTACTCTGTTCTAATTAGACAACTGGGAAATCAGATTCTACAGGTACATAAATTACCATGGAAGCAAGTGCTCCTACCGCAGAGAAATGGCTGGTCTGGGATGAGGGGGTTTGGACCTTTCATGTGCTCTATGGAGGTGCCATCCGCTTGAGGCACTGGCTCCACATTTCTGAACAAAGCCTGCTCTGATAGGGCAAGGGAGCAGCTGCACCAGGCAGGCTTTTTATATGGTGCAATGAAGATGCATTATTTAACTCATGCCAGAAGAGAGAAACACTTTATAAACGTGGAAAATTATTCATGCCCAGGCTCAGTCTGGCATGAACACAAGGGCTCCATGCCATCGTTTCTGCTCCCAGTGGACCAACTGCAGCTCTCTTGTCTCTGGCACAGCTGAGCAGTTTCCCATGGTGACCAGCAGAGGGTGCTGGTGACCCACATGTGTGGCCTAGGCCTGGGATAAAAGGGCCAAGCTTCCCAACTAGGCCAGTTTGCAAAAGCACCTGCTTGCTTCCCTGTGGATGTACGTGGGGACACGTGCCCAACACCCAGAAACAGTCAATGGGCCTGTGTATGAATGTGTTCCTGTGGGTGCAATCAAGCAATGACAAAGGGTAAGTGCGTTTTGTTCAGGTTTAGATTTTTGTGAATCCCCAGTGTTCCTCCTAAAGGGGGCCACCCAGGTAAGATCTGCAGTCCAGACACCTGGCAGAGGCCCTAAGTGCCAACGGGCTTTTCATCCCACTAAATTCCCATTATCAGTACTGCGATTTCAGCTCATTAATAGTGACCTGAAACTGTATCTCTGCTTCATGCCTTCAAGTAGTTCCAAGAAGCCCCATACGCAGGGACATCTGTTACAACTCTGAACCACTTCAGATGGCAGACTAGGGAAAACCTCTGAAGACTTCAGAACAAGAACACTACCTCTGACTAGTGATTCAGAGGCCTCCTGGGATGAGGACAGGAGGAGCACAGAGCAGGGATGGAGATTCTCTGCCCATCTTCTGAGTGGGCCTGACACTGCCAGAACTTTCTGTGGGAGGAAAAAGTTACTTTGGTCTTACAGTGTCCTGCCCCTTAATCTCTCGTGCCGGACAATTACGCAACATGATTCTGAGAACTTGGTTTCCTGGGAACGTAAGTCGTGTTTTTGTCACAGTTACCCTCTTTCTTCTCAAAAACTAATTTAAAATTTGGCAAGTCTGATATGATGTTTAAGTTTTTAGGACTCAATTATAAACCTTGATTTTAAAAGTTTGTTTATTTTAAGAGAGAATGGGTTCTTATCCTGACAGTAGGACAATCATGATTTAAAGGTTTCAAATGCCTTAACATGTATCCTTCCAGAATGTTGGGTGTTGAGGATGAACAGCTGCAGGTAGGCTAACCAGACAACCACCGTTTACTATGCAGAAGGGCTTGTGATTTGATTTGCACAATTATAAGATAGTTTGTTAATAAGCTCTGACAATGTTTGTAATGAATGCATTTTAATTTAATGTACTGGCACAAAGTAGGGACTTAACCTACACACATTTAAAGTAAATGTGTATCCTGACAGGATGAAAACATCCCCTTGGCTGAGGAGCTTTAGTAAGCTCTGTTCTGACAGGTCACTTTTTGCAGGTGTGGGGCTCATGTTCAGCCAGTTCTTGTGTGTGTGTGTTTGTAGGTATTTGTATTGAGAATCTCCTCCAAAACACACACGTCTGTAAAAACTCCTGAGGAAGCACCTGAAAGAAAGAAGAGCTTCCCTAGGTGTCTCCATCCTGTGGTAGGATTTCACTTGTGTCCCACTTCTTTTGTGCCTCAGGCAAATGAGCAAATGCTAATTTTTGTAGTAGATGCTAAAATGGATATGATATTCTAGAAAGCAGTTCAGTTCCCTATTTGCTATGGTATATGACTCCCCCCCCCCCCC